GAGAGAGAGAGCTGACCGGGGTGTGTGTGGAGCGGGGTGGGGGGGGAAGAGGCCTTGGAAGAGCGATGCTGAGCCAGGAGAGAGCACCGAAAAAAGCGGAGCAGAGGCAAAAGAGAGCACTCTTCCGGGTGTTCTTACCTATATACTGGGAATGACGTGCATGTTATGGAATATCATTGGCTATTCTGAGTTTCAATTTTAACATAAGGGCAAGTCCTATGCTAGCAACCGGCTGTGCCTCTTTGCTCGTCTGCTGACCTTGGCAGCAGAACAAAACATCGGTCTTATCAGCTTCTCCTGAGCCTAAATCCAAAACACAGCCTCTTGCTAGCTATTTATGAAGAAGAGGGAGAGAAAAGAAAAAAAAAATTAACAGAGTTAACTTTAAGTTAACTTTAACCCACGACAATCGGGCTTATACTTAGCTGCCTCATTCAAATATCCAGAAGAGCTGTTATCATGGAGTTAAAATACTGCAGCAGGCACAGACATTTTAACCTTCTGTAGTCAATGCCATCTCGAGGAAAAAAAGCTAGTAATTCCTGTGCATTCTCTGTACAGAAAGCTATTGGGCATTGCTTTCTCTGCACAATTTCCATTACTTCTAATGAGAATGGGGTATCTAAAGCTCCACATAAATAATTCTAAAGTCAGAATCGTGCGGTGTTTGTTTTTATAATGTAACATAGAGGGCTGCAATAAAAATACACAAACAGCAAGTATAACATACATCAGTACTGGATCAACGCTCTGTGGAAAGGGGAGAGCTCATAAAAGCAAACTGACAGTAAAATAGCATAAATAATAAGGTTACCAAGCAGTGACACTCCGAAACACTGTAATATGTTTCTACCGACAGATTTTTGGTGTACTCACACAGTATAATTTAGATGTTTGAAATTGCTGCTGTTTTTTTTCTGACAACAAATCCGTAAGTGAACAAGTGGAGACTAAAACAGTCTAGATAACCTTATTGATTAACTAGCTGAGTGAATAATTATAACTTATCTGTACATTGAGCTCAATTTAGGCTCGCTATGCTGGGAGCACTTGTGGGTGCGGCTGGTTAAGGCTTTTCAAAGAGCCTGTGAGACACCTGTGTTTCATAAGAGCCATGCTACAGATGTGATTAAAGCTCAGTCTGTCACCTTGATTTCAACATATACTATGCCTGTCACAGAATAGGAATTTCTAAAACCAATTACAGATTTTTTTATTTTTTTTTAAATCCCTGGAGACTTTGGTATCTTTTTATTCACCTTCTGATAGCAGTCTAAACATTCGTATCTTATCCGATCAGGTTCAGTCTCACAGTATCATCCATCCACACGCTGGCTGCACAAGCAGACATAATAATCATAATCTCTGTTAAGGCTTCACGCTAGTCTTACACTAAAGGAAGCAAGTAAACAATGCTGCTTGCCTCCCCCTGAGGAATACAGTATGGCAAAACCATACGAATCAAAAGAAATTGGTTCAGAGCCACCTGTGCAGCATACTATGCTTCAGGCTTTACCACGATAAACATAAGCATACTTACTGCTAATGCAAATTCTTACCTTGGTCCAAAGCTTTTGTCTTTGACAATACACTCTCTCTTTTCTGGTACACCTTTCCATTTTTTGGGATCAGCTAAATCTACCAGCGCATTGGCATTGAGTAGTCCAAACCCAAATCGGCTGTTGACCATCAGTCCTGCTCCATTCTTTTTCCATCCTGGATTTCCAGCCAGTGGATCGTATTCCGAGGTCCACACAACCAAGTGCTGCATATCCCTCCATGTTAGGTTTGGGCTGTTGAGAAAACGTTCCTGGTTAATTGTTCAGGGCTATCTATAACTTTTCTCTCAATTATTAGTCTGCAACAGAACGTGTTTTGAATGTATATGGCATCCCATTTTTTTTAATATACGCAGTGTGTCGCATGCTTATCCTCACAATATTTCTCCAGGTAGACAAGCTTTCTGTGTAAATGAAGAGTGGGTATCTCGCAAGATTAGAGCCCAATTCTTCAAAACTATTCAGGCATTTAAAGTTAACTAGAAAAAACATAGTATTTCCCACCAGTCTTGATGGGACCTGGACTTTCAAAATCCACTGGTTATTTGATTCCATCTGTCAGTAACTGTACCCTTTAAAATATGGCCCTACATATTTTGGCTTATGTCATCAAAAGCAGTATGCAATAGAAAATGGAAATGAACCTACATCATTCAAGTACTAAGCCTACACCCTAAAGCCTGAAGTGTTTTCTGTGAAAAAGCCATTTTCCTGTCCTGTCCTGTTCTTTCTTACCCCCTCTAAGTCATACACTCTGACTACCAGCCCTACAGGATCCGAACCTGCTTGCTCTGACAGTCAGGCTTGGGTACCTTCCTTTTTATGTCTCATCATTGACAGAAAAGGTTCTGTAAATTGATTAAAGACTTAATTTAAACTTCTGCAACCTATTGTCTCCAAATCACATTCTCCTGATATATGTGCAGCCTCACTGCTTTTAAGCGCAGCACACAGTAAACAATTGTTGCCAATGCACAAAATGGGCTAAAATTCCTCAGTCATCACATTTTACTTACACTGGTTCTGCTTTGCTAGGAAGCTACGGAGGCAAGCAGCTGCTTATTTTTGTCATCAGGCTGACCAAGTCTGACTGACAAAAAGTGACCTGTAGCATGAGATGGTGTCACTTTCAAATACACACCATTTTTGGGGAAGGATAGTGGGGTGGCTGAGAGAGAGGAGTTCCAAAGGTAATTGTGTGACATCTTACTTTGCTTCCAGCGCTAGAGCAAAAATTC